GACCACCAGGTCTAGTATCGCATCCCCTCAGGTAGGGGTGCTTATTACCTGGCTTAAGAAGTTGTCCTCAATGCATTCTAGGAACCTGCTGGATTGCCTACAGCTTGCCGTGTTGCTTTTCCAGCAGATGTCGGGGTGGTTGAAGTCCCCCAGTAGGATGAGAGCCTGCGAGCGCGAAGCCTCCTGGAGTTGGAGGAAGAACGCTTCATCTGTCAGCTCCTCTTGATCTGGCGGCCTGAAGTAGACACCAACCACTAGGTTCCCTTTGTTGCCTCTCTCTCTGATTCTTACCCATAAGCTTTCGACCTGCTTTTTCGAATTGCTGTGGTGTGGTGGGGACATGGCCATGGGTTGAAGGGCTGTGGTGGGATTGATGAGAGGGAAGGCTCAGCAGGTCTCCTCCAGCTCCCCATGCCCCTGGTCGAAAGGACGCTCTGGGTGACCATGAACTCACCCTGAGTCCTTCAAAAAGGTCACTTCTTAGAGGGATGTCCCTGTCTGGTGGACCTTGTAGATCTCATGCGGCATGTCCGCATGGACAGGCATCCAAGGACACCCCCCCCAGCCACAGGAACTGTGTGGGGACAGAGGGGATGGGAGGACGTGAGGAACTGGAGGACACTGGGAAAGGCATCTGCAGGGACACAGGAAATGGGGAACAAAGGCTGTCCCTGTCCTGCAGAGTCCCTGAGCCCGGGGGTGGTCAGGGACAGAGGGCCTGGGGAGGCATGGGGCCAGCAAGGATCCATGTAGTGGACTCAGCTGGGCACAGAGCTGGACCTGTGGCCATCCATAGGGATTTCTGGGGTGAGGTAGGACCAGGACATATATCTAGGTGGGGATTGTGAGACAATACGTGTGTCAAGGGTGGGGAGGGACCAAGACATACCTGGGGGCAACACACAGGAGCCAGACATGCAATCAGGAAGGTGTGGGATCAGGATGTTCATTTGTGGAGGGCAACTATCTCAGACCAGGGCCTCACAGACCCTCTCCTTCCATCCATCCATCCATCCATCCCTCCATCCCTCCATCCCTCCATCCCTCCATCCATCCATCCATCCCTCCCTCCGTCTCTTACCATCTCACAACAGGATGCTGGCTGCTCAGGCAGGACAGCACGCCCGTGAGAGTCCACAGATTCCCTGGGGAGAGGTTACCGGGGGACATCAGTGCTAAGGACAAGGCTGGGAGGGGCAGGGACCCCAGAGGGGTGGTTGCTGGTCTTCTGCCTATGACTGGCCTTCAGAATCATCTGAGCTGTCCTGGCTGAACAGGCTGTATCAAATGGATCATAGGGACCTTATGGAGATCCCTTGCACTGTGTGGGTCACCGGAGACCAGTTTAGGCCCCATGGACCATGTGGAGGCCACAGGAAAGCACGTTTGACTGCATAGAGCACGAGACCTGCAAAGACACCACGTTGAAGCAACACAGACTACGGACCACATAGACCGTATGAAGACCACAAAGATACGGAGACCGCTTGGAACGCCTGTGGGACATGCTGCCTTGGGGTGAGGGTAGGACAAATTTCAGGGGATGCAGTGGGACAGCGCTTCAGGGGAGTGTCCTTCTGTCACCTTGCTCCTGACCGCAGTGGTGTGCAGGGCAGTGCTTCGTGGCTTCATGCCCTCTCCATGCAGATTCACATTCTTCCAGGCTCCTCATCCCCATGAGCCTCAGGGCTGTGGTGGGACTGGGGACAGCCATGAGCTCCATGTGCCAACGCTGGGATGTGATGTTGCTCCTCCGCAGGGATGGAGATGGGCCCCCCAGCAGTGCGAGGACCCGGTGGGCAGCCAGGTGGGCAAGCGGGCCACATCCTGCTGCTGCACCAGAAGGCTGGAGCCAGTCCAATGGCCCTAGAACTGGCGACTGTTATGTTATCTGACAAAAAGCTCCTCTGCAGGAACACGGAGCACGGCCCAACCATTGGTGACGGCTCGGCGATGGTAATTTGTGACCAAGGAACGACCTGGCATGGAAGGTGAGGATGCCGAGCGGCAGAAAGGGTTAAACTGGCTGGGAGTGGGAATGCCAGCGACATTGACCCCTGTCTGGAGGTGGGATCTCGCTTGCTGAGGAGGTAAGCAGCGCAGCGGCCTCATCTTGTAGCGGTTACGCAATGCGACAACGAGGGGTGCAGAGCTGAGGCTCCCCGCACCGACCGTCGACTCATGCGACATCTTCTCAGACCCCTCGCAGAACCGCCGACGGTGGTCGGGCCCTG